AAATTCGCATGTCTACTTTCTTGCAATCAATTGATTTTCACATGTGGCATATGATTTTAACAGGTTATTCATCACCGTTACATATTGCTAATGGAGTTAAAACTGATATTCCTTTTAATCAATAGAACAGTGAAGAGCAACTTAATGTTTAATTGAATGCGAAATCTTTAAATTGCTTTTTTTGTGCTTTAAATTCTGATGATTTTGTGTTAGTATCCACGTGCACTACGGGTAAGAAAGTTTGGGATAAACTACACACCATATACGAAGGCACTAGTGAAATCAAGCAATCCAAGTTGAATATGTTAATGCATGATTTTGAACTGTTTTCCATGAAGCCTTTTGAAACAACCTTAGACATGTATACCATGTTCATTCAAATTGTACCATCATTGCATGCTTTAGGAAAAGAATTTTCAAATTTTAAAAAAATTAAAAAAATTATTCATTGTTTACTTGAAAAATTCAATGTTAAAGTTGTTGCTATTTATGAATCAAAAGATTTGAATGAATATTTTATTGATAATATGATTGGCTCACTCATTGCCTACGAGCAAGGTTTGGGTCAAAGACTTTTAGATGCATGTGAAATGATTATTCTAAAAGCTGAAGATACGAAAAGAGTAAGCTTAGTTGGTGACGATAGCAATGACTTTTCAAGCAAATCACAAAGCTCACCAAAGCATAAGCAAAAGTGGAAAAAAGTAAAAAATGGTAAGGATGTTCATAGTTCTTCTAACGTTATTTATTTTCGATGTAGGAAACCTGTACATATGAAAAATGAGTGCCCTAATTTAAGAATTCTTCCTACAAAAGAAAAGAGTAAGCCGAAACTAAATTTAAACTGAGGAAATAATGAAAAGCAAAAAATCTCATGGGCAGATCTGGTTTCTGAAGCATCGGACCAAGAAAGAGATAAAGGTTAAAAACCCTATTTGTATTTTTGTGTTGTGTTTTTTTTTCAGTGTTTATTTTATTTTATTTTATTTCATTTTTATTTTGTTTTTGTTTGTTTTTGTTTCATTTTTTTTTCTCTGATCAACACACACATTCACTTTTCTAAAAATAAAAAATCTACTTCATATTTAGTTTTTCTTTGAAATCTTTGGTAAGTTGTGATTGACTTCTCTAAAAACTTTCAAAGGAAGGAAACTTATGTTTTTGACTCTTAATCTCTATTTCCTAGAAAATGTTATTCTACTTTTGATTTTAAATCTTTTTCATCTTTTAAATTATTTTTTGAAATAAATTTTTTTATTATCTCCTTACATTTTATTTATCGCATAGAAATATTTTTGCAAATTGTTGAATCTAACTCATAGTTTTCTTAATCAAGAAATTCGCTTTGCCAATAGGATGGGTTTGCTTTTTTTTTTTAAGAAAGGTAGCATATTAAAAAATATTGATCAATGATGCCAAAAATAAAAGATGCGCAGTGCGCGAACGAATTGTCAAGTGCGCGAACGAATTGTCAAGAAGCATAAAATAAGCCCACAAAGTTTATTGCTTACCATTATTGTATTTCTTAAAAGCTTAAGAAAATCCTTGATACTTTCGATACTTGAGTTTGAAAATCTTGATTCTTAATTCAACAATTTGCGCATTAATCTTCTATTAGATATATTTTATGGAAGGAATTTTTAAAAATAATTATTTCTTTCTCTAATTTATTCTATGATTTAGATATTAAATTAAAAAGTTTTTTAGCCTTTTTTAAATAACTTGAGTTTGGATTATCAAATTCTGAATTTCTAACCTTTTCTGGGCTATGCGTTGTCAATCCAATTCTACTAAAATTTTGATTAAAACCAAGAGGTAACTTTCACATTTTAAGAATATTTATTTTTTTACTAGATCAGGGAACATTTTTGTCTTTTGTTCGTTATGTTTTTTGTTTGTGCCTCCACTTTTTTTGATAATGTCAAAGGGGGAGAACGTATTGTTGAATTTGTATCTTTTTTTTCTTTTTAAAAAATTTAAAAACAACAAAAATTTTATCTCCCCTACTTTTTTAAAATGTGTTACTCTAGTAAGGGGGAGATTAAAAAAAAGTTTTTTCTGAAAATTCAAATTACAATATTTATCATCATCAAAAAGGGGGAGGTTGTTGCGGATTTATGGTTTATGATTTTGATGATAGCAAATATTTCTTATTTCTCTACAATTGCCTTATGTATTGACATTTCAGGACCACGATCAGACTGCAATTTGGAACCAGCTCAAGATTGGGTAGACTAGGATTGAGTCAGTTTGTACACTTTTTTTCTTTCTTGAGTCTATTGTATTTGTTGTGGCACCTAATGATTTGTAACTTGGTAGATTTTCTCTTGTTCCCTAAAGATTTTTATTTTTGGTAACATCGTCCGGGACGATATTTATATCGTCCTGGATGATCTGTCCAAAATCAAAAACCCTAATTAGGCCATCCTCATTAAGGCAACCATCATAAACTGATTGGCCTGGACGATATGTTCAATTAAGAAAGAATCAGTCGCCATGATCAGATTAAGCATTCTGTATTTTAGGAAATCGGCCATGACAATATTCACATCATCTAGGACGATCTAACTCAATTATGCCTAAATTGATCTTGTATCTTTGGAAAGTATTAATGGCTGATTGATACGATCAAATCATCCGGGATGATCATAGGATTGGCCAGGACCATGGCCTGGACGATTTACATTGGCCAGCATCTATCCAGGGCAATGATCAGGACGATTGAAATGGTTTTAAACTAATCGTCCAGGACGATCGTGCGATCGGCCAGGACGATGTAACCAAATTTCTTCTGATCGTCCCAAATCGTCCCGGGCTGATGAGCTTAATTTGTACTGATCATACAGAACGATATCCCTATCGTCCTGGACGATAATGTCGGCAACTTGCATTAATGAGCTCGTTTTGAGAGCTTCTATTTAAGCTATGTCATGGCAATTTTGTAAGGGTCTTTTGGCAGCCATTGGAGCTTCATTCTTGTGGGGAAAACTTGAAGATGAGCTTGAATGGGAGTGAGGAACGGGTGAAGTCTGAGAGAGGGAGAAGATCCTGTGAGGGGGGGACTCAAGGGAGTGTGGAGGGGGATTTCACACGGTTGCTCCGGCAGGCTTGCACCTTAATACCGTCGGATTCAAGGCTTGTCTCAAGAGAAGTTCACCAAAAAAGAAGTTATCTTTGGTGTCAAAGGACCCAACGTTTGGAAGTATAAGAAATATGTTAATACCCTTACAGTTCCCGTCTTCCTCATCTGGCGAACTTCCGCGACCATTTCTTCCTCGTTGTAGCACGACGCTCATTCCTCTGATACATTGGAATCGTTTAGGTATTTCTCCAAATTTCTAGTTGTAAGAACTCGATGAGAGGGAAACAGAGCTTCACCGACATTATTTGACGAAGCTTTCTACAGAATTATTTGCATACCCAACCCTTCTATCGGGTTCTCCGCCTGCTCCCTTCTCCTCCTAACCAGACCGATTGAAGAGCTAAAGGTGCAGTTATTGATTTACAATTTGTTGTTGAATTGGATTTTATATTTTGTTCTACAGCTTTCTTAGGTTTTTGCTTAAAATCTGATTTGAATTTTTATTTTATTTTTTTGTTTTTCTGGTTTGCTCTGATGTCATTATTGTGTTCAACCCTTCAGAGAGAAGTCGAAGGGTTCAAGTAAAATTTTTGAAGTTACTATTTGCTTATCCAATGCGTTGACCTTTACTGAATGCCATTTCCTTTTCAACGACATACCTGCTTTTTTTAAAATTATCTAAAACTTTAAAGTATTAACAGGCAAATGCTACACAAATTTTATGCTTGTATACTTGGTGTTCATTTATTGAATTCAATTTACATCTAATGAGCTCTTTGTAACACAAATTTTCTCTTTCAAGATCAATGCTCTTACGATAAACCTTTTAAGGCCATGGTTGGTTGCAAACAAAATCACAAGGAATTATAATTTTAATGGTTCAAAATGCTGTACAAGGATTAAAAAATCATTTTTAAAAGGTTGCAATTCTAAAACAGCTCAACTTGTTTGGTTAGTAATACATTTGTTAATAAATCAGTTTATACTTTTCGAAAACATACATAAAAAAATTGATGCTTATGACATTTTTATACAATAAATCAATTTGTTCATGTTATTGTATCACCTATAGGATTAACTATTCTACCTTTTTTTTCATTTATGTACTTAATTTTCAAAAATTCTTGGCTTCTTATTAGACTATGAAATGGTTCTTGTTATTCTTGCCCATGCACATACATAGTATTTTATGTAATGGATGCCTCTTGTTCTTTAAATTACTAGCAACATACATCGATTATATTGGGTATATTCCCTCTTCTTATAATTTGTTAATTTATAATACAACAATTAAGAAATTTAATGGGTAAATCAAAGGATGCCGGACCATCCACAACATGGGAGAAAGATGTAAATATTATATTCTGTGATTTATGTCTAAGGGAGATTGAGTTGGCAATCGACCAACCACACACTTCAATAAAGAGGGTTGGACGAATTTAATTAAGAATTTTTATAAAAAAACTGGAAGAGAGTATGATAAAGTTCAATTAAAAAATAAATTAGATCAGTTAAAAAAAGATTGGAAATTATGGAAAGAATTGAAGCGTGGATCCACTGGACTGTGTTGGGATCCTAGGAAAAAAATCATTGACGCACTGGATGAATGGTGGAAAGAGAAATTAGAAGTAAATATTAATTTACATATATTTGTATTTTTCAACCTTCATACTCTTCTTTTTACTTATTTAAAATGAAATTTATCTTTGTAGGTTGTACCAAATGAAAAAAAAAATAGATATTATGGTAATGATCCCGAGCTTGAAGATAAGTTTGATATGATGTTCCTAGGTGTTGTTGCTACCGGAGATCATGCATGGACTCCAAGCCAAGGACTTAACAATGAAAATATTACTGCAGATTCTGAAAACATTGTTATAGGTAATGATTCTTTTGATGAACCTTCATAAAATCTTGATGAACCTTCACAAAATCATGAGAGCATTAGTGATTGTAGTCAATTGAAACAACATGCATCTACAACTTCAACCGGTAAAAGAAAAAGAATATATGGTTCTACATTTCTTCGAAGTCAAATTACACAACTTGTCAATTCTCAATTCTTGTACCAACATTACCTCAGAAACTAATGCATCAAAGTCAATAATCGAGAAATCCTCCATTTCTGCTGCCATTAAAGTGCTTGAACAAACAACTGAAATATTTGAAGACATGCAACTATATTTGTTCTCCACCAAGCTTCTCGAGGATCCAACGAAACGAGAAATTTTTATGTCGATTTGCCCTGAACGACGAGCAATTTATCTTCGTTATTGCTATGGAAATCAAGACACAACAACATCAGAGTTTCATACAGTTTAACAATCAATGACTTTGTATTTTCTTTATTGATCTTTATAGATATCTGAACTATTTTAGTACTGTTTTTTGTTAACACCAGGGACTCGAGTGTAAATGATTGGGTTCACGACTCAACGTAAAGTAATGTACCGTGATTCAATGTTCTTTTGAGTTTTCTTATTTACTAGAAGTTTATGCGATTCTGCTGGATGGAATTCTTGCTGTGCAGGGGGAGCTTGTTATCACCATTTAGCAATGATTGTAGTTCTTAATTCTGCTGGGCATAATATTTTTCTTGTATTAGTTCTTGCTTTCTGAGGAATTTACTGTTTGTCAAATTATATTGATATGACTCTTGATGCTTAGAGCTATCAAGTGTCAACTCAATTCATACCTAACTAATGATGCTGTAAAGGATTGTGCTATTTGTTTAGAGATGAAATGGTTTTTTATGCTGCAGATCATATGATGGTAACTAATTTGATCTACTCGAGGTTTGTTGATTAAGATTATCCATGAAACCACTGTTGACCTCTGTATAAAAAAAATGATGAAAATGAAATGCATACCTGCACTCTGCCGCAAATCCCTGAAATCCCGCTCAATACCTCGGCACCATCGAAATACCTGAGCGAATCCCGCAAATACCGCAAGAAATCCAGCATACGTACCGATTCGGCGCCGCTCCAGTCTCTCCGTGTTTCCTGTGCAACTCCTGCGAACTCACCTAGATTGTTATTCCGATCACGCCTATAAAACGAAGCAGAGCCTTACCTTCGGGGAGATATCGCCTCTTCTCTCTCGGCCAAAAGCTCCGAACAACACCGACGCCTCCTCTCTTCCATTCGCACCACACACGCGACCAAGCTCTCCCCGACTCTCCCGATTTCCCTCTCCAACCTCTGCTTCCACATCCCGCAAGCTTCTCACCTCCTCCACTCGAAACCCCTACCTCCACTTCTCCGACCTGCTCTCTCCCATGAACACCTGCTCGACTCTAGTCGAACCCCTGTTCGCTGTTTCCGTCCGACCTCCGACCGAGAGAGAGAGAGAGAGGCCCTAACCTCTATCTCCTTCAGTGAAGTCCCCTTTCTATCCAACCGGAGTCACGAACTTTGATCGGAAGTGCAAACGGAAGCTCGCTGGCCGTGAGGTTGCTCTCTCTGTCCCGCATCTCTTCCGCTAAATCCCTGCCTTATATATATATATATATATATATAAGGCAGGGATTTAGCGGAAGAGATGCGGGACAGAGAGAGCAACCTCACGGCCAGCGAGCTTCCGTTTGCACTTCCGATCAAAGTTCGTGACTCCGGTCGGATAGAAAGGGGACTTCACTGAAGGAGATAGAGGTTAGGGCCTCTCTCTCTCTCTCTCGGTCGGAGGTCGGACGGAAACAGCGAACAGGGGTTCGACTAGAGTCGAGCAGGTGTTCATGGGAGAGAGCAGGTCACGCCTTTATTGCGCGTGGTGGGATGGGACCCCGGTGCGGCACCTACGGCGAGGCGGGGTCACTTATAAGTACCCCCGAGCGGGGGGAAAGCAAATTGTGTCACTTATAAGTACCCCCGAGCAGAGGGAAAGCAAACTGTGCATTTTTAAACAGGTACCGTCAAAGACCCCATACATGTCTTTATTGCGCGTGGTGGGAGGAACAAAAAATCACGGCCGCGGTGTTCTCATTCGAGGACATCTACCATACACGCCTTTATTGCGTGTGGTGGGAAAGGCCCAGTTTTCTCGTAGTTTTCCCCTAAATGGGGGAGACGCCGTGAGGCTGCCGAAATCTCGGATGAAATCATACCTGGACTTAATTGAACTCAAAGAACAAAGAACCATGGACTTTTGGACAATGAAATGAATATAAAATTGAGCCTAAGCAAAACTTCAATGGACTAAAAGTTAAATAAATGTGACTTCGACATAAAGAATTTCGACATGTACTTTGAGCTTGAACCAAATTGAACACAAGGGACTTTATGAACTAAAAAAGTCTACACTCAAATTTGATTTGAGCTTTAAATTGAACTTGAATTAAATAAGATCATATGAGACTTTTGAACTTGGTTTGAACCAAATAAGAAGGATTTAAATTTGCCATATAAACGAACAAGGTGAACTTGAATGTGGACCGAAGCTAACAAAGAACTCGAACCACAGGGGACTTGGACTCAAGCTAGACTTGTGAACATGAGTTGAACTCAAAAAGATCGGCCTTGAACAAATGATGATTAATAGTATTACAAGGGATTCGAACCAAACTTGAACTAAACAAAGAGCCTGAATCATGTTTGATTACGAGGAGTTTAAGTTTAACATCAAATAAATGAAGAGGAGATTTAAAAGTTAGAACTTGAGTTTGCATTTGGATTCAAATCGATTTGAAGGATAAATGAAATGAACTCGGATCGGACTTAACACTCAAACTTAAACTCGAACTTGATATGATGTGGAGAATTTGGACTCAAGTTCAAATGAACAGAACCATGTTTGGATATTGAACATGAATACAAGCAAGAACTTGCAACCCGATAGTTAAAGATCAATCCCCTTGTGGAAGAATACACTGATCCCTTGCAAGTGAAAGGTGGTCGATCCGCATCAAATGCAACCACTAACAAGTTGTCGTAGGATACTTATACATAGAAGACATGTATCCCCTATGAATAAATAGGTTAATGAATGAATGAAGGTCATTCATTAAAATCTCAAATAGAAGCGAAATGTCGGTTCACTCATAAGCAACAATACGAACTCCTACAAAGTCACTATAGAAGATCTGCAACACATATCAGCTCTCTACAAAGACAGATGTACGTGCCACATGCTACTTATGGGTAGATGCTTAAGGACTTCAGTAAATGCAGTATCCTGAAGTAAAATTCAAACCGTGAAGGAATACATCAACCTGCTTATGAGAAACAAAAAAATAAATGTGAAAAAGCCAAAGACTGTAGCCACATGTTGTACACCTAATACATCATCGACAAGAAAATCACAAGAGAGTTGCAGCAGATGTGAGCATATACAATTAAAGCAGGAGATTAGTTTGTGCACTACAATCTACCTGCATAAATCATACCAGTAGCGCGCGACAGTCTACCTGTACAAAGCAGTGAATAACTCTATTCCGAAGCTGCTACACCACGCCACTAGATCCCAACACTCGTATCAGCGGACAGAAGGCGTTTGCAAATATTGCAACATACCCCTACACATACACTGTAGCCTTTATACATATAGGTACACTAAAAAGGGGAAGTGCAATCATAAAACCTGCATAGGCCCTGGCGAGCGTGTTATTGGTACACATGTGATGTCTAGGGATGTTGCGCAGGTTATTAAATTTGAACCCGATCCTTCTAAGTAGATAAAAGGAGTTAACAAGGTTCAATTATAAAATGCCCCCAAATACCCGCATGGGCCCCGGCGAGTGTGTTATTAGTACACACATGACGTCTAGAGATGCTGCGCGGGTCAATAAGTGAATTCTAGTTCGAACCCGATCCTCCCATATGGACCAATATGAGTCGACAAAGTTTGAACTCTCAAATAAGTACACGGTTGTGGAGACCAGTGTATTTATTTTAATACATTCATATTAGTCCTTCAAGGCCTATAATCAAAAAATTAATTAAATAAAGGCATAAAATATACGAAACCCGATCCTCTATCGACATCCAGATAGAGTTGACAAGGTTCAAGCTTTAAATAAAAATAACCCCAAACACCCCGATGATGGCCGCGTTGAACAAAAAATCTCAACCGGAGGGGTCCATTCCAAATAATTTCCAATGTCGTTCCAAATATCCAAAAAATCCAAAAAAATCCTCAAAATCTCAAATATCCAAAAATATTTTAAATTGAAATCTATCCATCAACACTCAAAACAAACTTCATCCACCCTCCACAATAGTTTGTCGGGGTGGATAAATTAAAATTTATTTCAGCTCACAAAGAGCTAATGACTAGTCGAAAATATCACTAGGATCCATTCTCAAATAATCTCTTGCCAGTAAGGATGTGGTACGTGTCCTCTAACCGGCAGTTTCGCCGCTAAATGGCACTGCAGGTAAATAGTTATGACCCGGGGTCCTCTGAACCGAGTGGTTTTGGCGCCAAATGGCATCACAGATAGCAGTTATGGCCAGAGCCAATACGCTCCTTAGTGGCGTTAAATCCTTGAGATATGAATTAATAGGATATGATTGATAGGGCACAAAGCCATCTGTAAGCTAAGGTGGATTCAAATTTGTTCCCTTAGACAAAGATTCACCCCAAGTCTACAAGGTCCCCTTGGACGAAGCAACCCATGGCTGCCGACAAGGATCCTTCTGTCAGGTTGGGTCAACTACATCCTCTGACTAAGTAGACCAGGGACCACGATGGCCCAGGATGACGGAACCATGGGATCTTGATCGGGACTATCATCTATTCCCCCACCATCCGCCTTAAGTGCACGATGGTGAAATTTCTATTTAAATCTCAAATCTTCCAACCTTCAAATTTCCAATACCCAATCTGTAATATCCAACCCATTGCTGCTACTATATGCCAGATAACACGTATTCTCTACGTATCTTATTGACGACTAGCCTTAATCGAAAGTTCTCTCTCGTTATCGGGAGGGGTAATTAACTATAGGGGCTTGCGCCTATAGGAAACCAGAACTCATATCATAAAGTCCTCGCAAAATGAGGGAGAAATCTCTGGTTAGTGTATTATCTACAAACTCATCTGCCTTCCAAAATTTATCCCGGAACTTATTCAGTTAAAACTCCCTCGCCGAATAAAAAAGAAAAGCGCGGCGGGGAGGCCGGGCCGAATTTTGGGAGCCCACAACCACGAAGCAAATGGTGTATTGGAGGGAATTTTGTTTCCTGCGTAAAAGAGATTGAAACAGATTGTGGTATTTGTTAAGTGATGAAATAAAATTTGATGTAGTAGATCTTGTGAAGGTAATTGATTCAATAAGACTCGAGGTTCGTTTTTTATTTCTAAGCAGCATGTTATTTGAGTAAGGTTTGTGTAAATTTTTTTATTATTATATTGAAGATAGTCTGATAAAGTCTTTCTCGTAGTTGTAAATTTTGATAGCATGTGAGGTGTTTATATAAATAAGATATTAATACTTATTGCAAACTATATGCAGGAATGGAATGTAATGAGAATAGGATTGAGTCAGAAGATATTTCAATTATTAAAAAAACTATACTTGCAGCAATATGTTTTATAAATGAGTATGATGAAACATATATTTGCAAGACACCATGCATGACATCGTCGTATAGAGGAGACAAATGGATTGGAGAGCTACTACATGGACATTCAACAATGTTTCATAATATGTTTTGCATGTCTCAAACAATTTTTGTGAATCTACTGAATGACTTGGTATGTGTTTATGGTCTAAATGGATCATCAAGGACAATAAGTAGAGAAGTACTTGCGATTACTTTGTACATTTTATCGCATAATGAATCAATAAGGTCAACATGTGAGCGATTTCAACACTCAACTGAGACAATCAGTAGGTATTTCTCCATTGGATTGGAAGCTTTGGTGAAATTATCATGTTCTGTGATCAAGCCTATCGATCCTAATTTTGATGATATACCAAGAAATATTTTGTATGATAATCGATATATGCCATATTTCAAGGTAATTATTTTTATTATGATATGATATAATATGATTTATGAAAATGAATATAATATCTAATTATTGCTTCTTTAATAGGATTGTATTGGAGCTATCGATGGAACACATGTGGATGCTCGTGTTTCTAATTCTGAGAAAGCAGCTTATATAGGAAGATGTGGGTCAACGACGCAAAATGTTATGGCTGTGTGCGACTTCAACATGTGCTTTGCTTTTATCATGGAAGGATGGGAAGGAAGTGCACATGACAGTCGTAGTTTTAAATTTGCAACTCATAATAGACACAATAACTTTCCAATGCCACCTCCTAGTACGTTCTATATAGTTGTTTCATTAGTATAAATATATGAAAGCATGTTGTATTGCTTAGTATGCATTAGAGTCCCTTTATTATCTTTATAAGTGTTCTGTACCATCCTCCATAATTAGTTTATTTTCTATTTAAAACACTCAGTATCAAATAAACTATATTATGTAGTTGATTTTCAAAGCTTTAGGATGGCATTTTATATAGGTTTTGATCCTTTGCTTGTTCCACTATGCTTGGCTACATCAATTCTCTGATAGTTTGATTTGAACACGTCTTTATACTTTCATTCATTCTCTCCAAGTTCAAGTCATGAAAGTGAGAAATTGACAAGACAATTTTTTTCATGAGTAATTAGTTGAGTGATAGTAAGTTGGAATCTATGTTAGGCAATAAAAGTATATTGTCAATTGTCAGAATTTTTGAGAGGGTAGTAGAACTTTTTATGAACTTTTGATAGTTAACTATCTACAACTCATTAATTATAACTTTATAGTATGGGTTTTAATTGCAGAAGATTTTTTTGTTTCTTGTCATATGATCAAACACTCTCAAGTTTACTATTGAAATAGTAGTTTTGTTATTGTTTCTAATGCGTTCATATAAGAATTTATTTTATGAGCGACCATGTTTATTTTGATGATGGTCTAGAAGAAGCTAATATTTAATTGGCTGCCTTTGGCTTGTTGTCTATATGACTTAAGTGGTAGAAGACTTCTGATAGGATTTGTCTTTGTTGCTGGTTCTTTCTGGAGTTTTGCAAAGGATCCGTTCTAGGAAAAAGGGTCTGATGGCTCTTGTGTGAGTCACTGCTCTGTTAGTTTGTAGTCTCAAGATATACATTAGCGAATGAATTGATTTCTTTTGATTTTATGGACGTGTATCTTACTATACCCTGGCAGAAAATTTCTTTGATCCACTTGGTTGTTCTCAACTTTAAGAGTGGGTTTTCATGAAGTTTACAAGGAAACATCAAGACCTTCAATGCAAGAAGTACTATTAGATTTTTAAGGAATTTTATTTCATTTTAGATTGTGATTTTAAAGGTTTACGTTACTTTGGCTGCTGTGGCTTTCCCATGTAATGTTATCTTAGGTGTGCTTATTTTAAGACTCGTCATATTTGAAGGTTTGAGGTCTTTTTTGGCTACAGGGAGCAGCTCAATTTATTGGTGAAGCTCAAATGGCCCTTGTTGGATAATGAAAATGTTGCCTGGGCCTCGCACACCCCTCTTTGTAATTTGCAGCAATGGTTGCTAGTAAGACCTGTTGATCAACATCTACATCAGATTAAATTGGTTTTGAGTAAAAAATTTTGTAGTATTTTAATATATAAACTTATAAAAGATTTGATAAAATTAATTAATTTTAATTCATAAATGTTAGTTGATTATTATATTTATCTAAATGTATAAAAGGATATCAAGGTAATTTGTTGTCATACAGTAGCAGCACAGCAACTCGACAGTTATGCCACCCAAACAAAATTTATTGATTTTTGTACAACAACTTTAGAAAGCAGCTTTCTGGATAACAACTTCACAACATGCTTTACCGACAGCTGTAACCGTCCCAAACCAAGCATAAAGCAGGGATGTTCTTTTGGATGGGAAGAGCAACCGCGGAACGTAGAAATTTTTAAAATGGAGCACCTCCGCTTAACCCCAAACGACCTCTTAGTTACGTTGGGTGAAGCACATCAGGGAAAAATCCGTCCCTAACGAAGCCTAAGTGGTGATTAATGTGGATTGCCAAAACATTCAATTACGGTATGAATACTCATATTTTAAATTATAATGATGATTTTGTTCTCTTTAAAATTAATTGCATCAAAGAATATTGGCACATGCGTATTTAATCTTTATTATAAGTTAAATCATAATTTATCTTTCACATACCAAATGATTGGTCATTTTAGATTTGACGATAATTAATATGTTATGTTTACATTACTATGAATGTTATGTGAATAAAAATGCAAGATAGATATGCGTGCATGTGCTTGTTAAATGATGGAGCACACTCTTTTATAGTACTAGCTGACGATGTAATGTATCCATACATATAAAATAGAAACGGTTTTGAAAAAATAAGTTATGACAGAATACCTTCATTGGTACTATTTTAAATGACATCTCCTGTGACAGTTATATAATTTATGAAATGATAAATACATGATATTTGTGAAAGCATATAGATATGGATAATTTTGATGGTCATACTCAAAATAAAATTTAAATAGAATTTTTATGTTTTAAAATGAACATGCACATTATTTCTAAATGTCTTAAAGTATTATAATTTTGAAGCATGATGTGCTCACTGAGTGGTGACCCACTCTTTCATTGCAAACGTTCACACGTATTATCTAAAGAGCTTAAATGAATAGAAGATGATAGGACGTACGTGTATCATAGGCGTGTCGCTCCAAGAGAAATGTATTTATAGAATTTACTTTTAAAATGTTTTGATGTTTAGTGGCACTTTTAATATATGAGAATTAGTTTTAGCAGATGAAATTTTTAAACAATTTTTTGACTGTCTATTCCCACCTAATAATTTAAAGTCTCCAGGTTGAGTCATGACGCTAGGTAAGTTTTTTTTGTAGAAGTTGAAGACTTTCTCATGCCATGATGAAGTTTTCGATAGTAACAAGGCTTGAACCATCACCAATGAGTTTATTTCGAACTTTGTATGTTCAAGCATTCTTACAAAAAATGCCAAAGACATCATGAAAGGCTACGAATCTAATATTATAAAGATTCCAATAAGAATCCCTGCGTGGGTCTTTTATTCTTACCATACAACACATTTTTCACGCCTATTTTCATTTAAGTGAATTTATAAATATTCCAAAATTTGTAAATAATTCTTCACACCTTTAAAGATCATGTTTTTCTTTTTTTCGTCCCCCGTGCATAGTAAGAAAAGATAAATTTTTCTTTCCCAAACTAGATTTGATGTTCATTTATCTTAGGTTGCTTGGCGCAATCATCTCATTACCACCGTAGATTTCTCCTTGTTATTCACCCAAAAGGTAAAGAAGAAAATGGGTGTTTTCCTTCCTTTTACTCTTCTTCTAAATACAAATTACTTAAACATGCAATCACCTAAGATTTTTCATACAAGTTTCAGGTTAAAGCAACATCTTATTCATACAGATTCTACTTCAAATCCTATTAAGAGATTATTTTGTAATAGATGAATCTATTTTGTTGCATCTTTCATTTCCATGTTCTTTATGTTAGCCCTTATCGGTTTGCTTTTTGCATATCATGATATGTTTCATGGTTCTATTAGCTTCTCTAATTTGTTTTGTTTTATTTATCAATGTAATGATTTGGTCATCTATGAAGCTGATGTGTCAATGATTCAAATGATCAAAGGGATTAAATAGCTATGGAGGAAGATCTGCAAAATTTCCATTGCTTGCTAAAGGAATTGTGTGCTGATGAGTTGCGAGAGCAAGGTGAAGGGAGGTTACAATACGTCCATTCATCCTTCGCAAAAATGAAGTATGGTTATCTTATTGAAGTTTCCAATGTTATCTTTGAAGAATTGCTCAGACAGTTTGAAATTTTAATTTTTTTCCTGATATGTCCATTAGATGGAATTTCTGGACTCAATTAAATTCCCAATGCACAAAAGAAAGATTTATAGTTCTGCTGAGGTGTTGTTTGAAGATCTTGCAGATTCTTGAGTTCGACATGAGCTTTTTGTGTGAGAAATGTGGGTGTATATTAAAGATCCTTGGCAAGTATTTCCCTATAAATTTGGTTTTGAATTCTCATGGCTGCAGTGTAGTATCAGCTAGAGACCCATTTTCAAAGTGCTGCAGTTGTCTTGGAGGGATCAGTGAGGAAGCTGATCAACTGCTTAGTTTGTTTCCCTTAATAATTGAGGTAATTATGTAGATTTAACTCTTCCCGTAACTCAATACTTTTGCTATCGTGGAAATCCATTTTTCAAAGTTTGAATTCTTCAAATTAAATATTTAATATCAGTTGTCTGAATTGGAAAGTTCCCTTGTGATGCCTTTTTTGGATATGTTTAACAATTTGGAGGACTCGTAGAGCTATCTTACAAATTATTTTCAATGCATAATAGCTTGACCATCCCTCCAAGTGCCAATTCTACAGACATTGGTGACTTTTGCATGAGATTTAGGCTACACCTTTATTGTCAATTATGCCAAGATGTAAGACTATGCATTCTGGCCTGCTGCCTTTATGGTCTTTACTTTAGAGAAAATCTTGATAATGTTACAAATTGCCCTTGAATCTTGTTGGAAATCATGCCAATGTTTGGTTCAAATCATGTGGTGGATCAAGAGGGATATTTGAATCAGGTTTTGTTGAAAAGCTTGTGGAATAAAACCCATTTGGAAAGTTACATTTAACAGTATCATGTACCCTAATTTCCTGTCCATTATTACAGTAGACTTGATGGAGTTTCCCTTCCAGATTCTATCACATTGATGTGGGGAATTCAAACACATGGGAGCACGCTGATTACTGCTGCCGTTGAGTCCATCTTTGAACTGTTTTCATTCCTATTTTGCCATAATAATTTACTACAATTCCAGAAATTTTGTGATGTGGACATCGACCAGAGGTTCATACATGTGTATCGCCGTAGACAGCGCAGATCGACGGCCGCGATTCAGAGTTTATATTTCTAGTTATTTATGTATTTCTTTTATGCATTTTTCTTTTTATTTCCTATCGTACCCTTAGTATAAGCTGAGTCATGAGTGTAGCCCCGAGGGCAAAAGAGTCATTGTATTTCCTTTTGTGTTTGGACCTATATATAGGTCATTTCATGTTGTATTATGGTTAATGATGATTGATTAATAAAATTTCTGAATTTCTTCTTTGTCTTCTTGCTTGAGAGCTTGAGAGAAAGAGGGGAGGCCTTGGAGAGGCTCCGCCCGAAGTACCCAACAGCCCACTACGGTGAGCTCTTGGTTTTATCTTGCTTGTTTACTATTTTTTCCCTCCTTCCCTCATCCCGTTCCACCCACCTGATCCTCCCCTCCTCCCCCTCTAAATTCCCAGCAGCCGACCCCTTCCAATTCATCCCAGACCGCTGACCTTGCCCCCCCCCCTCCCGTCCGGCCATCTCCTCAAATCCACCCCAGCCCACCCATAGCCCGCCGGCCACATGCTGTCCAGCCACCTCCTGTGGTGTCAACCCGCCGGCCACCCTTTTGCCCAAGCTATGATGATGAATTCAATCATCATAATGACCCCTTGATTATTGCCTAGTATTAAAGAAGGGAGTTACAAGTTTTGAATTTCAAAGTTTTGAAATTCAAAAACTTTCTCAAGGCTGTTTTTGTTGTTCGTAGCATTTGGGAGCAAGGGAAGAACACGACGTCATTCAACCGTCACCTCAATGTTGAATGGCGGATCCGGAGTTTGAGTGGGGATTAGTCTTCAACGCCGACGGAAGCATTAACATCTTGCGATCGCCGTGCTTCGACGTAGGATTTGAAGACGAGACCACCGTGGAAGAGTACTTGGAGAGAGTCGTCTCGATCCTTGCAAGCATCTACGACCGACGACTTTCAAAGTACACTTGGAGTCTCGAGAGCCAAACATTCACGCCCTCCTCGTCACCATCAACCTCTCCGTGGCTAAAGGCCATTGGTGTGGCCACCATCTTCGTGGCATCGTTGAGTTTGCTAAAGGCCTTCTCCCGCTAACCCGAATTGAGTGTGAGTGAGCAAGGTACTCATTGCGAAATTTCTAGACATTAGTCGTGGGATCTTATTAATTTTCCGCATTTGCTTTGTTGTGAACTTTTGAGATTCATTATTAATTGTGCCTAAACACTAGATTGAAATTGCTTATCATAACATTTCATCAATGGAAAATGCTTGAATCTTAATTTACGAAATGCCTAATCTTACTTGAGTAAACATTGTGAATCTTAATGAATTTCATGTGCAATTCTTGAATGTTTCACATCATATTTGGTATCAGAGCATGGCTAGCATGCTTTCCCTTTGCTAGATTGCATCCTAGGAATCCAATTAAAGTTATCCTTAGCTTGTTTTCACGCATATCATCGCATAGTAAAAATTTTTCACTGTTTTTCTTGCTGCCCTCTAAATTTCTGCATCATTTTCATCACTTTAAGCAAGTCTATTTCATTGTCTAAGTGCTGTCCTTGTCACAACTACATTCCTAATTGTTTAGGTTGCTTAGACAAACATTTGAGTTTGCTGTCCACTCACTTTCTGCACTTAGTATAACCTTTAGGAGGAGTTCTAGGTAGTGTCCAGCTGTTGTCCACTGTTTTCTGCAGCTGTTAAACTTCCGTTAGTGAGCCTAGAGTCGCTGTTTAGGTGCTGCCTAGGTCCGAAAACCTAGCCGAAACACTTAGGTGACTTTCTCCTCGTCTGTGATCGCTTCCCCGCGATTTCCAGCAGCTGTAGACTCAATTTCAGCAAGCATTTCGGTAGGGATAGCTGTTGTCCTTGACTTAGGAAGCCTTTCTAGTGATCCCAGCACCCAACCATGGACCCTACACATATGCAAGCAACTTTAGACATGATTATGGGCCAATTAGGTGCACTTACACAACAAATGAAGGATACCCAAACGAGTGTAGCTGAACTTAAACGTCATACAGGAGAAAGACTAGACAATATTGAAAGAATGGGACACCCGGCCATCTACACGCCGTCTAGACCTCAATCACCATATGGCGAAGATGCCCGAACTGAGTACAGACCCCCTAGGGATTACTACCGACCCAACCACCGACCCCATCAGGAACCGGTAGGACGTGACGCGCATTGGAGAGACAACGATGCCCAACTCCTCATAAGTATTAAGATAGACGCCCCGACGTTTGACGGTACGTTAGAGCCTCAAGTTTTCCTTAACTGGATTAAGGGAATGGATAGCTATTTCAAATGGTATAACATTTCAGAAGATAAGAAGGTTAGATTCGCTGAGATGAAGTTGACGGGTAGAGCAAACCAGTACTGGACCAATGTAGAGCACATGAGGGAGACTCGAGGAGAATACCCTATTGCTGACTGGGGAACAATGAAGCAAGAACTGAAAATGAAATACCTTCCCCCCTCATACTACCCAAGACTTCTAGATCGTTGGAATAGGTTAACCCAAGGAAGCAAGACCGTCAAGGAATATATCTCGACCTTCGATGATTTCCTGATTCGTTGTAACGGAGAAGAGACCACCACTCCTACGCAACTCCTGTCAATGTTCAGAGCCGGATTAAGAGAAGATCTTCGAAATGAACTCTTTGCTAGAGGAGTGAACACGTACGAGGCTGCCTGTAGTCTTGTGCTAGACTTAGAAGAATCAAGGAGCCACGCCCCTAGGACCCAAGACTCTAGACCTAATCCCTACAAGTCTTCCTCTAGCCAACCGTACAACAAACCCACTGGACCCTCAGGTAGTCGGCCTGCTCCTAACCAAGCCCCACCTCGATCCGATTATAAAGGGAAAACGCCTGACCGAGAGACACCCAAGACCACTGCCGGCACTAAGTGTTATTGGTGTGGCCACCATCTTCGTGGCATCGTTGAGTTTGCTAAAGGCCTTCTCCCGCTAACCCGAATTGAGTGTGAGTGAGCAAGGTACTCATTGCAAAATTTCTAGACATTAGTCGTGGGATCTTATTAATTTTCCGCATTTGCTTTGTTGTGAACTTTTGAGATTCATTATTAATTGTGCCTAAACACTAGCTTGAAATTGCTTATCATAACATTTCATCAATGGAAAATGCTTGAATCTTAATTTACGAAAGGCCTAATCTTACTTGAGTAAACTTTGTGAATCTTAATGAATTTCATGTGCAATTCTTGAATGTTTCACATCATTTTGAAATCATATTTTTCTATTAAAACTGTATTATTACTATTTTATTAGCTATATTTGTATGTAACAGTTTTGAATGAATTCGAACAAGTAACATTTTTTTCTCTTCTCCCGTTCTCAGTTTTTGCATGGTATAAGTGACCTTGTTATTTTAAACCTTGTTTTTTTCCATCAGTATGACCGTATTTTAAACCTTGTTCTTTCCATCCGGCTAATCAACATGGCATATAGCAAACTTCTTCCAGTCACAGGACCAAGCTTAATAACCGCAACCATCTCCAATGGTCACAGTCTGTGATGATGTTAATCTTAGGTAGAGGCAAAGATTACTATCTGATTGGATCAACCCCTACACCAGGAAAAAGATATTTAACTTACAAGGTTTGGAAATAACAAAACAATACGGTGATGCTATGATTTATTAGCTCCTTGTTTATTGAGATAGAAGAGAATTTCTTACTCTGCCTCCAATGAAGTTTACGAAACTACAAAAGAAATTTATGTTATGAGAATATATCAAAATTCTTCTTTGAGGAGAAAATCTTCTATGAGCTATGGCAAGGTAACTTATCTTCTACTTTACTTAGTACTTCAACTCTATCTAACATCCATTATAACAAATGGATCAATTCGATGTCCATGAGCCCTGGGAATGGATAGCTGCAGGAATTTCAAACATCAAAATTAAATTGCCAGCTGCATGGGAAATAACAGGAATTCCAACAAACTGTAATAAGCATGGAACACCAAGCAACCAAGAGGAAGGTAATGAAATGGGCCAAAGCCCATTAAGAAAATTTCTGCAAAAAAATAAATGTCCATTAAGCCAATAAAAATTACCAAAGAGGACCAAACCCAAACACGATCACGGGTTATTTTCCATCATAGGGTGCATAAAAATAAAACATAAACAAAAAAATATATAAAGTCCAAAACATAAATAAAATACAAAATATAAAATGATAATCCTTGACTGCATCAATTCTCCCCCGACGGAAGAATCTCATCTCCTGAGGGACGTCCATTCCACTTAACTAGAAATCATCTATGCACTCTATGCCTTGTCTGGGTAGTTCTGATGTCCAAAACATATTCAATACGATCATCTTTGATCTGAGCTGGAAAGGTAAGGGGCAAAGTTTCTAGGTTCACAGAATTACTTTATTTTCCTTCATACGTCGTAAGGTCAGCAACATTAAAAACAAGTGAAGTTCCAACATCAAGTGGAATATCCAGCAGGTAAGCTTTTGTTCCCAATTTTCTAAGTATCTGGAAAGGGCCAAATTTCTTTCGACTTAGCTTGTGAAAAGTACCAATGAGAAAGCATTATCATAAAAAATAAACCATAACTAAATCTCCCTCAGTCCCTCTTGAAAATAACACTCCCTCCGGTGTTTGTCAGCAGCAGTTTTGTATTCAGTATTTTGCATATGGAGTTTTTATAGGACCTGTCGTTGAATCGATTGAATATGATCAATAATTTCTGTAGCTTTGGCACTAATTCTATTATGCATGGGTAATGAAGTTCAGTCTAAAATGTGGGGAATAGGTTGGCTAATAAATAATTTCAAAAAGAGTTTTTATCAGAAGAATTATTGATGGAATTATTGTAAGTAAATTTGGCATGGGGTAAAATCAATTCTCATTGAGAAAATCTCTCTCCAGCAAGACATCTAAGTTTCCTAAACTTTTGTTTACTACTTCAGTTTTTCTATCTACTTGTGGATGGTATGCACTACTGAATTTGAGAGTAGTCCCTAATTTTGACCAAAGTTTTCTCCAAAAATGGCTCAAGAACCAAGTATCTCTGTCAGAGGTAAAAGTTCTAGGTATGCCATGAAGTCTCAAAATTTCTTTAAAAAATAACTTAGAGACATGAGAAGCATCAGAGGTTTTCTTACAAGGGATAAAATGTGTTATTTTGCTAAATTGGTCAACAACAACAAACACAATCAAATTTTTGAGCAGTGACATGTAATCCTAAAATAAAGTCCATAGTGATATCTTCCCATGGTTTGTTTGGACTTGGGAGCGGAGTGTACATAATAATGTTTTAAGTGGTTCCTTTAAATTATTGATAGATTTTACATTGCTTTACAAATTTCGTTATATGTTTTTGTATGTGGGGCCATAAATATCATTCTTCAACTAAAGATATAGTTTTTCCTTGCCCAAAATGCCCTCATAATCCTCCACCAAGAAGCTCTTGGATGAGTTTTTCATGTAAAGAGCTTTGGGTAATACAAAGTCTAGTTCCCTTAAACAAAAATCCTTGTTGAATGATAAATTGAGTAGAAGAGTCAATTCTAGAAGTACAACATGATTCCCAAATAGTTTTAAAATTTGGGTTAGTGGCTTAGTTATCTTTTAAAGAATCAAGGGAAATCACAGTTGGGTGGATAGTTACCAATAAATGGGCTTGTCTGCTTAAGGCATCAATAACTTTATTTAAAATTTCAACTTTGTGTTTAAGATGAAATGTATATTCTTGCAAGAAAGTTGTCCATTTAGCTTGTCTTCGATTCAAATTTTTCTGAAATCCTAAGTAATATAGAGCTTCATGATCAGAGTTTAGCATAAATTCTCTTTGAATAAGATAATGTCTCTAGAATTTTAGGGCCTAAACAATTGCATAAAACTCAAAATTGTAAGTAGAATATCGGGATCCGATATCATTGAGTTTTTCACTAAAAAATACAATAGGTCTGCCCTCTTGACTAGTGACAGCTCCTATGCCTACATGGGATGCATCACAATCTACTTCAAACATTTTTTCAAAATAAGGTAACCTAAGAATAGGTGCTCGACTCATTTTATTTTAATCACATGCAATGCTTCTTTAGCTTCAGGGGTCCACCTAAAATTTCACTTTTTAAGACAGTCAGTAATGGTGAAATCAAACTACTGAAAATTTTCATGAATCTTCGATAAAAAGAGGCTAATCCATGAAATCCCCTTCACAAATAATTTTTGGAGTTGGCCAACTCTGGATTGCTTCAATTTTAATGGGGTCCACTTCAATTCCATCATCAGAAACATTATATCCAAGGAAGGTCAAATTGGGAGTCATGAAAGAGCACTTTTTAAGGTTGATGAATAAGCATTGTTCTCTTAAAGTTTGAAGGATGAGTCTCACATGTTCAAGATGATCATTGTGACAAGTGCTATAAATCAATTTGTCATCAAGATAAACCACCACACATTTTCCAATAAAGGGACGTAAGATATGATTCATGGTTCATAATTCACATAAATGTGATAGGGGCATTTGATAGACCAAAGGCCATAACTAGCTATTCGTGGAGTCCTTCCTTAGTTTTAAAGGTAGTTTTTCACTCATCACCAGGTCGTATTCGAATTTTGTGATATCCACTTCTCAAGTCAATTTTGGAGAAAATTTTGGCACTACTAAGCATGTCTAGCATATTGTCAAGTCTTGGGATAGGAAACATATACTTAATGGTTATCTTGTTTATAGCTCGACTGTCAATACACATCCTCCAAGTTCCATCTTTTTTTGTGGTAAGTAGGGCTAGAACAACAGATGGACTCATGCTTTCTCTGATAAATCCTTTAGCTAAGAGTCCAGTTACTTGTTTGTAAAGTTCTTCATATTCATCAGGACTCATATGGTAGTGAGGTAAGTGGGGTAAATTTGCTCTAGGTACAAAATCAATATGGTGTTGGATATCTCTTAGAGGAGGCAAGGAATCAGGTAGTGTTTTAGGAGTCATGTCTTTGAATTTGTTGATTAGAGGTTAAATTTCTTAAAAAATTCTTTTGTTTACTTCATTCGCTTTTCTTGCCACAAGATAAATCACTTCGGTGTCTTTGAGTTCATTTGTATTGAGAAGCAATTCAGGATTGGGTGAATTTGGAGTTGTTTGGACATATTTTGTGGGAGGGTCAGAAATTTTCTTTTGGGGATAAGTGAACTCCTTATTTTGTTGGGTCAAGGTGTAAGTTTTTTCTCTCCATTGTGAATGGTTTTATAATCATATTTCCAAGATCGACCTAGTAAAATATGACATACTTCGAGAGGCATGATGTCACATAATACTTGGTCTTTATAAAATTTTCCAATTGAAAGGCTGAGAAGGCATTACTGATTGATTGGTACCTCTGCACCTTTCTTAAACCATTTTATTTTGTAAGCCTTGGCAAGAGGTTTTTGTTTTAATTTCAATTTATCCATCATGAGTTGTGAAACAAAATTTTCAGAACTACCACTATCAATAATGAGGGTACACAATTTTCCTTCTACCGTACATGTGGTTTGAAAAATATTTCTCCTAAGTCATTTTTTCTCCTGCATTTGATTTGGTCGTTAAAACCCTATGGATAACCAAATAATGATCTCCTTGGTCACCTTCAACCTCAATTGATTCCATCTCTTCCTCATTTTCTTTCTCAAATTCGTCTTTTTTTGAGTTTTCATGGCTTTTCTCTTGTTCAATATAGTTGGCCTAGGTGGGTTATTTTTTCTATAGGATGTAAACAGATGACCATACAAACCACATTTATATCATGGTCTAATATGTTTTGGTCCTATCACTCCTTTTACCTTTTCAATTGCTTGAGTTTTATTAGGTTTCGTTTGTGGATTATGATTTGAAGAATTTGATCTAAAGGTTGTTTGTGAAGTCTGAACTTTACTTCCAATAGATTGCCTAAGCTTGGTTAAGTCCATTGTTTTATTGTTATTTCTTTATTGTTATTTTTCAATCTTCAAAGCCACATGATAAGCTTCATCGAGTTTAATCCATTGATGTATCGTGTTATGGTTCGTTCTTCATATTCACTGAAGTCATTTCTGTATTGAAGTTTGTAGTTGTTTTCAATGTATTTTTCAATGGATTGATTTTCTTGGCGAATGCTATTATATTCTTGGAACATAGTTCGAGAATGATCAGAAGGAAAGAATTATCCTCACATTTTTTCTTTTCTTCTTTCCCATGTTTGAATTTCTCTTTCCCTCTACTTATCCTTTTATTTTGAAGATTTTTCCACCAGGTCAATGCATGATGAAAGTTCGTTAGGGATATTAGGCCCCTTATGAACCGGCCCAAGGCTAATAAGAGAGCGGTGAATTGGTAAAGAAGGATCTTTAAGCAAAGCACAAAACTCAAACCAAAATCACCACAGAGAAATTTACGATGCGGAAATTAAATACGGAAGTAATAAAGGAAAGAACACACCAAATTTATAGTGGTTCGGTCAAACTTTGACCTACGTCTACTCCTTGGAGGCACCCTCCAAGTATTGCACTAAAATAAATGTCTCTCCTTTATCCCCCACAGCTAGGCGGAGAAGCCCTTAAAAAATCACTTCCACCTTCCCCGGTGTGGCGGAGTCGCCGGGTCCTTTGACACCAAATAGATCCTTCTTTGCTGAAATTCCCTCAAGACAAGCCTTGAATTCGGAGAACCGTGTGGAATCCCCCTACACACTCCCTTGAGTCCCCCCTCACAGTATCTTCTCCCTCTCTCAGACTTCACCCGTTCCTCACTCCCTTTCAAGCTCTCTTTAAATTTCCCCTAAAAGAACGAAGATACAATGGTTGCCAAAGACACTTACCAAGTGTCATGTCATAGCTTAAATAGAAGATCTCAAAAAGAGCTCATTAATGCAAGTTGCTGACATTATCGTCTAGGATAATA